AAAGTACCGTCAAAAGCTAAACATGCTAAGGTGGCTCATGGTTGATGAAGGGACATGGTGAATTGGTGATCGTGGTGCGGTGATGGTCGTTGGATGGATTCACCTCCATGCTTCATCACCATGCATGCCATGATCTGGATGAATACTCTGAAAAGCTCTAAATGAGCATCACTCAGAACGGAACTAGGCGGTTGTTCATTCCAGCTGTAGATGGTTTTGCAGTGCTATTTTGAATCTAGATAACAGTGTTGTAGGTCTCGAGACCTGGTCTCGGTCTCTACTTCCCTCTAGACCTTTTTTGCAGTCTCGGTCTTGCCCTGTCAAAGTCTCGGTCTCCGTCTCGAAAGTGCTGGTCTCGGATGCCATACCCATAGTCTCTGGACTCCTCCTAGAGACCAGCCGAGACCATAACAAAATGCGCATCTAGCTACCACGCATGCATGCAGTTGCAAAAGGCAAAATTACCTCTGCTCGAGTCAAATCTTCATTCACTGATATAATACAACACAGATTTTTTTCAATGAACAATGAAATCGATGCTGGAATGAAGACTAGTCAATGCAGCATGATGCAACCTTGTCCCAAGTTGTTGTTGGTTCCCGTTCAATACGTAGTCTCCTGCTGAACATAGGGCCAGGACAGGAACCAGTCTGTGTGTGTGCGCACGCTATGAATTGTGTGCACGTGTAAAAGTGCTTTCATTCTGTCTTGTATGTGGTACGTAACAAATATTTGACCTGTGTGTGTGTTTAAGCTAATGTTTTCATTTTATTTCTTTTGTACTTAATTGCACTGCCATATGTTTGTCCCTATTTACCTTTTGGTAAAAACTAAACATTGGTTTATGGTTGGTCTTGGTCTCGGATGTCGTGGTCTCAATCTCGGTCTCGACCTGCAAAAGTCTCGGTCTCGAAGTCCTGGTCTTGGTTTTGAAGGAGAAGGTCTAGGTCTCGTATGCCTTGGTCTCGGTCTTAGTCCTGGACATCAAGGTCTCCGATACAACACTGCTAGATAACTTCTCAATAGAAGTCACGTGTTTTGGCTGCTTATTCCAATCTCTTGCCATCTTAGGAAAAAAATGAATGAAGATGGGATTGTGACACAGACTGTGGGATGACAAGTTGATTTGCCTTGCAGCACCTAGTGTTCATTCGTGTGCGAGCTGATGGAGGTTCTTGCAAGTCAAGGAAATCTCTTGTGTCCAGGTCAACAGTAACACTGTGATGAATGATTTTGTGCAACATGACTAAGCTGCTGTACCGTCGTCTCTGCTGTAGGAGGGGATGTTTGAGCTTTTTTAGCATTGCTGTATAAACAGAGCTGATCCTACTATAATCTTGAGTGATAGTACGCACCGCCCTGCGCTGGACAGCCTCGATCTTGTCAATGTTCTTCTTTGTATGCGGAGCCCATACAGAGCTACAATACGCGAGGTGGGGTTGAACCAGACTCTTGAAAGCCTGGGCTTTTACATGGACTGGAGCATTATTCAGGTTTTCTACGAAGGAAACCAATGACAATATTGGCTTTCGCTGTGGCAANAAGGTACCGTCAAAAGCTAAACATGCTAAGATGGCTCATGGTTGATGAAGGGACATGGTGAATTGGTGATCGTGGTGCGGTGATGGTCGTTGGATTCACCTCCATACATCATCACCATGCATGCCATGATCTGGATGAATACTCTGAAAAGCTCTAAGTGAGCATCACTCAGAACGGAACTAGGGGGTTGTTCATTCCAGCTGCAGAAGGCTTTGCAGTGCTATTTTGAATCAAGATAACAGTGTTGTAGGTCTTGAGACCTGGTCTTGGTCTCTACTTCCCTCTAGACCTTTTTTGCGGTCTTGGTCTTGCCCTGTCAAAGTCTCGGTCTTGGGAGGGCCGGTCTCCTTCTCGAAAGTGCCGGTCTCGGATGCCATAGTCTCTGGACTCCTCCTAGAGACCAGTCAAGACCATAACAAAATGCGCATCTCGCTACCACGCATGCATGCAGTTGCAAAAGGCAAAATTACCTCTGCTCGAGTCAAATCTTCATTCACTGATATAATACAACACAGATTTTTTTCAATAAACAATGAAATCGATGCTGGAATGAAGACTAGTCAATGCAGCATGATGCAACCTTGTCCCAAGTTGTTGTTGGTTCCCGTTCAATACGTAGTCTCCTGCTGAACGTAGGGCCAGGACAGGAACCAGTCTGTGTGTGTGCGCACGCTATGAATTGTGTGCACGTGTAAAAGTGCTTTCATGCTGTCTTGTATGTCGTACGTAACAAATATTTGACCTATTTGTGTGTGTGTGTTTATGCTAATGTTTTCATTTTATTTCTTTTGTACTTAATTTTACTGCCATATGTTTGTCCCTATTTACCTTTCGCTGTGGCAATATCTATATGCTGATTCCATTTCATGTCAGATAAAAGGGTAACACCAAGGTATTTATGATGATTTGTTCCTGATAACTTATCACCAGACAACAGGCCTCAAATTTCATTTTTTTTTAGGGCACTGCCATTTGGCATTGGTGGACTGGCTGAAGTAAAGGGCACTGATGCCAAACATGAGGGCATTAATGCCATCAGCGTACCAATTTTCCTGAAGACTGAGCAAGACTTGTATTTGACAGGCTTAGGATGGTGTCGTCAGGTGCATTACAGTCACTCAAGATGGAAAATAAGTTTTCATCAAAGAAACTGGATGAGGGTAATTCCAGAAATTAGGGGTCCAAAAGTGTGACATTTTTGTGTCCCTGTTACATCTGACTTTTTGTTATTTGACATGGAAATATCACCGGAAAATGATTTCCAACTATAACTATTTGTTTGGCAGGTAATTTGCATTAATTCATCACTCTTTGAAATTAGAAAATGTGTTCTGAACTTACAAAATCATGTGTCAGATGTGGCAGGGACACGAAAAAAAATGGACCCCAAATTTCTGGAATTACCCATGAACTAGATTGCCAAAATAAACTGGAAATGAAATTGGGGATGCGGCAGGAGAGGCATGTCCATGATAAATTGGAGTGATCAGCAAAACTCCAATACATGTCCTCACTCATGGGGATACACTCGCAGTGCATCCATATGTTACAGTGATCATTACATATGCCATCCTGGCCATATTTGACAGCTTTGTTGCTGATACCACGTGGGTACTAGGAGCGGGGTCCAGGGTTATGATGAACATCGCCAGACAAGGATAACATTACACCTGCTTGTAACATCATAGACGGCTTACGGGGGGATGACGTGGAATTATTTTTCACCCAAAGGTTTAAGTGCGTACTGATGAGTGTGCAACTTGGAGAAAGAATGTCATACCCCTGGAGCATGTTTCTTTTGTCATGCTTTTCACTGAGTGCAGGAGCGGTTGCGAGATCACAATACATGTAGTTCAGGTTGCCTAAGAACGTAGGGGCTGATGTTGGCAAAACACAAGTTTTTATCCCACCATGGCCGAGGGCCGACTGTTGTAATTTTGTATAGCATGATGGTGAGCCTGGCCACAGGCGTTGCTAGGATTTTACTAGTGGGGGGCCACAAAGAGGGGCACCAGCATCTTATGGGGGGCACCAGCTTTCAGTGGTGTGGCTTTTGGGAGTAAGTTTTTGTTAGCCTTGTTCAATATCCATTCATCCGTTTTTTTTGGGGGGGGGTGCTGGGAATTTGTGGGGCCTCGTGCCCCCCCCCTGGTCCCCCCTGGCAACGCCACTGGGCCTGGCGCGTCTGTGGCTCATAACATCAGGGCAAAAATGACATTGTCAGTGACAACATATCAAAGCGTAAGCAATCAGTAGAAATAGCAAACAACATTTGTTGCACCGATGTGTGCACTACACATGCTACACACAACATGACACGAGTTGAAAAAGTCCTTCCTTAAAAAAAACTGTCTGAAGGTTAGGGGCCACTGAATACTTTGTCGTCGACATGACTTCTTTTGTCTCAGGTGTATGTCTCTTCCACCACCAGTAAACAGCTTAGTAAACAACAGTAAACAACTTAAAAGTTGGTACGTTATGTCCATGTGACATTATGTCATGTTGCAAAACAACCAAGCAGGAAAACTCTTTCTTTTTTGTCCAATAACCTGCAGGTAACCCTTCAAAAGGTGCTGAGGGGACATCAGAAGAGACCTCAAAGAATGCTACTCTGGTACTATTTAACCTAATTTTAGATACATTTCGGAAAGAATCCCCACAGAAACCACTGATTTTTCCCTGCAGAGAGCTAGCCATCCTGAAATAACAAAATGTCCTAAAATGTCAAATTTAGCAGTGAAAATAATGACGCATGTATGTTCACTTAGAATTTTACAAACCAGTCTCATAGGGCTTGTGCACAGGGTGTCAAGCGGCATTCGTATGAATTCTTTCCAATGGTCTATAGTTTCCATGCTGTTTTCAACTAGAGCTGAAAATCACTTTGCCAACGTTTTTTTTTTCTTTCAACCCCATTAGCTAGACAGCATATCGGACAGCGTTGTTGCCAAGCACTACAACGAGCGGCAGGAGGTGGGCCTGCAGGAACGCACCAAGAGCCGCATCTTCTTCCTGCGTAACTTCAACAACTGGATCAAGAGCATCTGCATCGCCGACGTCCTGCAGCGCCTGCGGACGAGGGACCCCCGGGCCGAGCTGACTGTCCTGGACCTGTGCTGTGGGAAGGGCGGCGACCTCCTGAAATGGAAGAAGGGACAGATCTCCAGACTGGTGTGCTCAGGTAAAATTCTACCTCATCCCAGTGATCATGTCCTGCGCTTGCATTCACAGGTTCACTTCGTAACTGTTTTCATGAATTGACAAAAGTCTCAATTCTTACTTCGTCAGTGAAATTTGCTGTAATACCTGGGTATCAAGACTACATGCTTATGACTGATTGGAAATCGGTCATAAGCCCCTTGTGTCACATGCTCTGAAATTGTTTCCTGATTCAGGGAACAGCTATTATATTAACCTGGGGTATGATTCATTTACCCTGATATTGACCTCCCTGAAAAGAAAACCAGGTGTGACATGCCTCAAGTTTACAGTCCATTACATCTTCATAAAGTTCATCCCTCAGCTAGTGAACTAAGTAAATGAGAATTTCACAGACTAAAACCTTCTGAGATGTGCTAACTTTGAGAGGCATGTGCTGCAAGCTCTTTCTTGAATTCTGCAAACGGGAGCCAGGTCAATGAAAAATAAGCAGGACCTTTTGAGGTGTCAAAACATCAAGCAGTTGCTCAGCTCGATTTGAGCTCAGTTGCTGAATACCCCCCATCCCCAATGATCAACCTCGTAGCCAGCTGCGAGGTCAAACTGTCACACTCTTCGTATGGGGATTTTCACCTTGTAGCCACGTAACCAGTCATTCCAGGGGTCTTAGAGTGGTGGGGTATTCTGCAATTACTCCAGATTTCAGTAAGAAAATCTTTTGTGAAGGAAAATCCTCTTATGAAAATCCCTACAGATATAGCTGAGATGTCTTTGCAGCAGTGTGAGGAGCGATACAAGGAGTTGGGAAATCGGTCACACAATCCCCACGAAAAAGTCACCTTCAGGGCAGAGTTCTACAAAGCTGACTTGTCCAAGGTTTGTGCAATCATAAGATGGCATCTCTTGCATGCTTTCTTCTTCTTCTGGCTCAGTATGAGGGTTCGAATCCCACCCAGAAAGGCAAGTGGATTTAGCATTAGTGCCTGCTGATATTTGGGATTTACCCTGTGATGTAATTCTGATCCGAAGTTCTCCATCAAGAGTTGAACATGTCTTCATCCTCTGCTTTCACAAGCCATCCTTTCTGCAGTGGTCTTTTACACCCTCTGAACCCTCAGTTTCAGTGCTCCAAAGAATTGAAATCGAACTTAAATATGCTTGAATCTAAAGGAATGATTAAAGTGTTATTTTCAATCCATTCAGACTGGTAGTGATGTTGTTCAACCCATTTTAAAACCTTGTACCGTTTCTAACTGGTTAAATTCTCTAATTGATCTGTTTTGGGATCCAAACGGCAGGAAGTTTTGAGTGAAATGTATGAGGATCCCAGTATCCAGTTTCACCTCACCAGTTGCCAGTTCTCCTTCCATTATTCCTTTGAGAGCCAAGCCCAGGCCGAGACCATGCTCCGCAATGCCTGTGAGCGACTACGGCCAGGCGGGTACTTCATCGGCACGGTACCCAACGGCTGCGAACTTGTGTGAGTGTATGCCTGGCTGTGTTGTAGCAACTGTTTTGAAGGCCCTACCATCCAAGGTGAAGATGGCGCACTTGTCTCGGGGACGGACATCTCGACCGTCCCATGCATGTGAAACTTTTTTTTTCTCAGAGACTGGACATTCCGCAGAACAGATTTCTGGATTTTCCTTCACAAACAAGATTGGGTAGCATGCCTTCTTGCAAACAGTTTTTGTTGCTGTGTGAAATGGACAGTTCGGTTGCACAGTTAGTTGCGAGATATTGAAAATAATAACGTAAGGAGCAAAAAACCTTACTTATGAAAAAAAATCAAAACTTGCACTTGGACTAAACAATAAGCATTGCATAATTCTGGCCCAGATCAGAACAATGTAGTTATCCCATCAGAAGTGATGCATCGCAGGAAGAAACTTCATTACTTTAATTTTTGGCAATTGCATGTGTATAATTCCCAGACGAAGATTACGGGCTTCAGAGGGCACCTGGTTTGGAAACGATTTCTACAGTGTCAACTTTCACAGCAAAGACAAGTTTCCGTTGTTTGGATGCCAATATGACTTCCACCTCGATGGCGTGGTTGACTGCCCGGAATTTCTTCTTTACTTTCCCTTGCTTGAAGAGTAAGTTTCTAAGAACCCTTTCAGTTGATTTCCAACACTGCCCTCGCCTGATGTTATTCTGAATAGCTTTGATCAGTCTGCGACTAAGCTGACCCCTGCGTCTATCCTATCCCAAATGGCATTACTCAGTTGATTTTTTTTTTTGTTCTGAAAGTGATCTCTGTTAAAAAAAATCCCCCCGACAGACTAAATGTTCTTCCCTCATTGCATTCTGCTTCGAACCCTCTGGCTGGGAGGTTTTAGGCGCCTGTAGGTATTTGCCCAGCAACATCACCGACAGTTGGAGGCTTAACTGGTGATGTACATTTCAAAAATTGATATCTGAGTGTAATATGACATTACAACAATCTCATAAGTATGTGTTTTTAATTTTGCCCCAGAATGGCCAAAAGGCACCAGATGGAACTTGTCTACTGCAAGACATTTCACGAGTTCTTCCAAGAGCACTCGGGAGACCCAGAGAACAGTCAGCTCCTCAGCAGGATGAAATCTCTCGAGGTTTGAACTCTCTCTCCTTCACACCTCTCCCGCCCCTCCTGACATTACTCCAACCAGACTCAGCGATATCATTTCTATCCACCGTCTCAGCTAACTTTGTTAACATCGCAGCTAAGCCAGTTTCGCCAGTTGGCCTTGAAAAATCAGGATTTGGTGAGGCCAGGCATAAATTGGTTCAAGTTTGACCCTCCCGCTCTTGGGAAAAGTTTGACTAAACAATGGGTTTGGGGTAGGTATAAAATGAGCTAGGGGGAACAGGGGATAAGTTTAGGGTGATTGGACTGAAGTCTAGAACGTATTATCACTGCTCACTGTTGTTGCTATATTCACTTTTTTTTTCATTGTGATGAGTGGTTTTTGGTTTGAGGTCTGCGTCGTCAGTGGTCTGATGTCTAATCTTCCCTCATCTTTGATGATTTCTTGTATTCTTCATCCACTTATTTTCAATCTGGTGCTTTCATGTTTTTATTTTGATTTTTTCACATGCATAACCTTCTAATGTTTTAACATCTGTAGTTATATCTTTCACATATATGCAATATTGTTCGTTTTAATTAATTTTATATGTTATATTTGTTTGTTGTTTTGTTGACGGCATATGGGTCACCAAGTCTTAGGACCATAGTGATAGCTTTGCTGGCCCACGCCAGTGTGGCCATTTTGCCTAACCCTAGTCATTGCTGTCCCTGCTTGTAATTGATTTTAGTATTTTGGCTAAAATGAAATAATTAAAAAAATAATAATAACATCTTGCAATGACAGCAATACCCGCCTGATCGTGGCAACACACCAAGCAGTTCAACGGATGGGGATTATTCACATGCCGAAGAGCACTTCCAACGGCTTAAAGAACAGTCAGACAGACACATCAAACTGGTAAGGAAAATAATGTGATTAGGTGTTGACCCACACTCGACAGGTTTGTTCTTGGGCAGAAGGCCGACACATTTGCCTTCTGAAGCATTTTCCAACTCCATCGCTTCCTCATTAAAAAAGAAAAAAAGCACCTCGTATTTTAAGGTCTAACTCCAAACCCTATCAATCAGAGCTGTGTAAGAATGCCAATAGGATAGGTGAGAGGTGTCCAGAACTGGAAAAGAAGAGAAAATGGAAGGAATTTTTTACTCAAGTACTGGACTACGGAGCATTTATTCAGAAAGTTTGATCTGAAATGTTAGGAGTCGACGGTCTCTGGTACAGACAAGAATTGGAGGGCTTTTGTAAACACCTGTTTCATTGCTAATTGATGAGGATGATTCTGCAGTTTTTACATTGCTCTTTCCTACTCCTACCATGTCTTTCCTTGGTCCTTCCAGGGTACTCTGTCAAAGTCAGAGTGGGAAGCCACCAGCCTGTACGTAGTGTTTGCTTTCAGGAAGGAGACATCCCAAGAGTCAGCGACTGCCATGACGTCTACCACATGACAATAATATTGTTAAATGTTAATATCAGTTATTTTTTCGAGGACGCTTTTGCAAGCAGCATTGTTGCTGGATACCAAACTCGATATGTTTTTTTCTCTCAAGAGGTATTTTTCTCTAAGGAAAGATTTTGCTTTAAATTTGTTTTGTAAGTGACTGTCACTGGATGGCACTACCTCCCCACGACCTCTCACTTGAGAATTATATTTCCTGAGAACTGTCTGCCCACCTTTAGCTATAAGATCTGGATTATTTTTGCTAGGCAGTGCCCTGAATCCAGAAAAAAATTCAACACTGCTTAGTAAACCAATGGTACCTGTTCAGACATCACACCCCATAGTGACTGGGCCTACTGCAATCCTAAGTCCATCAAATCCACTAAAAACCAACATTTTGGTTTTCACGGATTTTGATGGACTCTGAACTGTACAGCCCTGGCTCCATTACATTTCACAGTATTTTTAATATGTCAGAGTTTAAGTATAAGTGAGTATGCCACTTGTTTGTTGCAGTGTGCTTAATTTTGAAGGATTTAGGAAGGTTTCTACCAAATATGCCTTGGGTAGAGTATTTATTAAGATTTATGTGGCAGTTAAAGCTTTAGGCATTAGTCCATCCAGGGCATTTTACATTTATTCTAAGGGGGACTATTGCTGTGTCTCACAGAGAACTTTTTACCTACGTCCGCTTGAATTAGAATTTTCCTTTTGATCATTTTTCTCTGCTGCCGAAAATACTTGTTAAGTTTGATTGTACAATGCTCAAACTAAATTAATATTGCCTTTAATCACTGTTGTCGTTATGATCATTACTTAAAGGTGATGATTAAGGTGGCAAGACAACGCCATGTGCGCTTGTCAGAATTACGATGTAATAACACAGTTCATTAAATATGTGAATGATCATATAGTAGATGTATTTTCTTTGTACCATTAAGTCACTGTGCTTACAATAGGTGTCGTAGTAACAAACATGAGTTACTTGTTATCTGCATTTCTTATGCCGACAAAGTGTCACTTTTTTCAGTGAAAAAAGATGCGCTTTTCGAAACTTTTTGAAATATGAAAAAGTCCAAACTCCGCCTCCCCATGCTGTGCTTCAGTTCAGGACCTTGTGATACAGATCAGAAATCAGTCAGGACATTGACCGTGAAGTGAACTCATTACAAAGAGTGTGTTGACTAGCTGTCATAATAAATAAAATACTGGACACAAACTGAGGATTAACAAATTACGACCTGTTTCATTTATTTTTTTATTTTGAGAGCTGACTGATTATTTTTGCCATGATAAACCTGTGTTGCTATGTACACACTGAGTACACAAAAGAAATAGAAAAGAAAATTAAGATTGTCGGAAAGTAATGAAATATCTGCCAAGTTGCAATAAAATTGGTGAAATTGGTCGAAAATTTAGAAAACAGTTTTTCATATTTCCAAATGGTAAGACTAAGAGATGTAACTGAATCCCACAAACTGGTTTTTAAAAACGACTTTGCCTTGAAAACGGCCAACTTGGACTTCCACCTTGAATGATATACTTACACCAAAACTCTTAAACAGTGGCTAGTGCCCCCCCCCACTGGGGGTATGTCCCCTCCCCCAATTCCCAGTGCCTCCCCCTGGTGCCCTCCCCCACACCGAAAAACGGATGAATGGATATTGAACAAGGCTAACAAAAACTTGCCCCCAACAGCCACACCACTGAAAGCTGGTGCCCTCCATAAGATGCTGATGCCCCCGCCTCTGCTTTTAAAATGAATTAATTTCACAAATCATCTGTTGCCATTAGAGAGCTCGAGGCACGAAATTGTTAGGCCCCATGGGCCACCTGTCTCGTAATCGTATATGCTATGGTACCCCCGGAACTAGCGAAAGATCAGTGATCATGCGTGACAAATCTTTAATTGTTACCAAAATAGTTTGCTTAAGAGTTATAATCATCAAGTAACACACAAATATGCAGAAGCTTTAAAACCAAACTTTTACCCCGCCTTTCGATTTCCACGAAAGTACCATTTTATTGTTCATTAAAGTGTTCCGTCTGTTTCTGAGGTGTACGGGTACGCACATTGCATTGTATTTTCGTTTGCCGGAGACCGGTGTTGGATGGAACATCCGGGACCTCTACTACGCATGCGCAGTTGCATAAAATTGGCACTCTGACGATTTGAGCCATTTTCTCTCCGCCATATTTCGGACAAAGACTTCGAGAGATCTCCACCGAAAATGACTGATTTTTCTGGAGAAATTCGCATGTCGTCGCCCAAGGTAGGTCGAAGTGGTCTTGCTGACCAGTGTGATATGATTTGTAGGAACAGATATTTCTGTAGTTTGTTACAAATTTCGACCTTTGGGTTGAGAAGTTTTGTTGAAAGTGTGCCAGTCTCAATCCGCGCTATGGTTCTACGCTATTACATGCAGCGGCAGCGCATTCACATCACGCTGCATGAATCCGGCGTGACCATAAAATTAAAAAGCCGGGGTGTCCGTCCGTGCACGTCCGCGACACACTGTCACTGGCACATAGGCGGCGTGAATGTTAGGAACTGTGCCTAGACTTATGCTAAGACCTATGTGCTTAAAAAACCTTGTGATCAAACCTGTCGTATTTTTTGGTATGTCAAATTGTTCTTGGATTAGCCTATGTTTTCGTATTGTAAAGTAATCACACCCTTAACCTCTGCTACTTGTTATTGACAGGCAAACGAGAAATCGCAGAATGCTGTGAAAGGTAAGGAAGGATATTGATGAAAAATCACCACTGTGTAATTGTTTTGTGTGGCAGGATATCACTAAATAATTTTGATTAGTCATCAATGTGGCATGTCATATTCTGGAATTCAAACTGTAGTCAGGTAGTGTGACACATCTGACATAGTGGAGGGGGAGTCCCAATCTATTGATTGTGTTGGTTGGGCTACATGGTGTGGTATGTGAGAAGAAATAATCAAGATTTTTAGAATTCTTTGGGTATACCCCTCTTATTATTATTATTAGTTCAAAAGTGAAGTACTCAGAGTTCATAAATTGTTTATGTACAAAGTATAGATAGCCTTGAAAATTCACAAACTATTTCCTGTCAAAATGTGAAACATTTCCGAAATTCAGGTTTTGCTTTGTTTCACTTTTACTCAATTGCAGTGGCTAACAAATGAACAAGTGACTGAAAAGATATCAAGATACTTTTTTGCTAGCCATGACAGTGGTAAAATTAAATGGCCGTTTGAAAGAGGGAGTGATCACTTCAGCACTGTTTGCTGTAGTACCCTTCTATTCATTTATTCATCTCAAAATTGAATAGTGTGCCTTGCATGGCTGCTTCAGTCAGAGGCCTTTGGAGTACAGCACAAAGGAAGTCCATCCAAATAAAACTGATTTTGTGAAATTGATATGAAAGTAGCCACAACCAAAAAACAGGACTTCATTGTTGACTTGATCAGATTTTTAGCACATAAATTTAGCATCCATGTTGAGATGGGTTAGACAAATTAAACTTTGTTTTTGCATGTATTCTCATAACTGCTGGCCCCTATTTATAATTCACAGATCAGTTTAATTTATAAGTTTTATTTTTTCAAATTTTATTTAAGTTTTTTTTGTTTTGTTTTTTGGGTAGGTTGTTAACTTTGAATACTTGACTGTCCTTGACTCATTAATTTGTGTTGCTTCTTACAAAGTTTTGTGCATGATTCAAAATTTTGTGGATGATGGGAACTGTGAGGATGTTGTGCACATTGTCCAGTTATTAATGTCTGAAAAGTTGTCGGCACAAATGTTATTAAGGACAGAATGAATTCGTTGTTTATGAAGGGCCATTTCCTGTTTTGCCACTGTTCTGCCTGGGATACCAGTTTGGAATTGAAGGAAGTTTTGTTTTCAGGAAATCCTAGAGATGAGTAGTCCTATCAAAACCAGACAAACGGGGGAACAATGAAAGCTCCATTCCACATTTACAGGAGGCCTTGCATGAATTGAGACAGAGGTGTGAATTAGTCCAGGGCAGAGAAAGAAACATTAACATTCCACCAGCTTGAGGCCCAATAATTAAGTTTTTCCCCCAAAATACATGTTTTTTAGTTCAGAACATATCTGAATTCCGATGATTTTGATTTCCATTTGATTTTTTTAAAACAGGTATGAATTAGCGACTTCATGATTCCTGTGATTTTCTGTCTTCCTCTGTAGATCTAAAACTACAAAATCATATCAAATCCAGTCCTCAGAAAATCAAACCTCCCTCCAGTGGCATGGCTAACAACCATCACTCTAATTCTGTGTCGGTTAAGAGCAGCAGTCAGCCACAGTCCATTGCTCGCCCAAAAGAGGGTTCGAATTCCCATTCGTCCTCTTCAAAGCCCCATTCAAACTCACACGGGAAGCCAGCCAGCAAGCCGTCAAGTGGTGGGTCTGGGTCACATTCCTCCTCCAAGCATTCCTCATCATCCAAACCGCCATCATCATCTAGTTCCTCAAAGGGTTCCGTCTCTTTAAGCACCAAGCCCAAGGAAGGATCCCCCAGTGTCTCCAAGCTAAAGGTCAATTCAACGCCAGGCTCTGTGAAGCCTTCCTCCGACAAACACAAGTCTTCGTCTGTGCCGCAAAAGACAAGCTCCTCGTCTGGGACACCTTCACAAAAGAGCTCCTCCTTTGTCTCCAGTAACAAACCAAAAGAAGGCAGTGCCTCTGTGAAACCCAAAGATCCTTCACAACCTAAGGCTCTCGAGTCAAAACCTAAAGACTCATCCTCGAAACCCAAAGATGGCTCGAGCAAACCTTCCTCAAAGGCGCTGCCGTCAAAAAGTTCCAGCTCGTCACAAGTGTCAAAGGAAAAATCACATGGTAAACCCTCTTCAGAACGACCTAAACACCCCGAGGGGAAGAGTGGCTCAAGCGACAGTGAATCCAAGAAGGACAAGTTGCCTTTGAACCACGAAAGTCGCAAACACAAGGAAGGAGACAAGGTCAAAGTGAAATCAGAAAAGCATGAGAGAAAACACAGCATCAAAGTGGCAAAGGACAAATCTGAAGTTCTGAGGTGAGGACAGTTTGTTTGTTTTTTTTAACTTTGTCTTCGATTTGCTCTCTTTACCGTATGTGTTGTCTAAAGCATAACTTCATGACCAATAATTACTACCTACCCCTCCTCTTTGGTACATGTAGGTGAAAATGATATAGAATTGGGGGATTTTCAGAGTACTTTTTTCTTTTGAGTGATCTGACAGTGATAGAAATTAGGAAATGTCACGTGATGTGCTCTGTCAATTAACCCTCCTATGCTGAAGTCACTCATTGGGTCATTTGGTAAACACCTCAAAGAAGCACAGCTGTGTCATGTTGTGCACTGCACCAACTGTCCCTCACAGGAATATCAGAGTGCACTTTTGTGCTGCCTAACAACTGTGCTTCACTGTTTCATGTGCATAATTGTGCAGTAAACCAAATGCAGTGAAGAGGACTGCGCAAAAGACCCTGGGTCATTTTGTGCCGGCAATCTACCGTGTGCACACTGAACCTATGCATGTTTGAGTTCCATATTGAAAATACATGCTCACCAGTGACTGTGGGCATTTGTGCACATTTGTGCTGTAAAACCATAGGAGGGTTAATAATGAATAATTTACTTTAATCCAGACCAATGTCAAAAACAAATGGATATTTCACCTTGAAAATACATTGGATTTATTTCTGTGATAGTTGATGTTTAGTCATGACTCTTAATATTAAAAATATTGGTGTTTCAGATCCATCAAATTTTCTTGAAGTAACCTGAATCCAATTTTTATCCCTTCAAAATGCTGCAATTTTGAATATTCCGTGTTAGCTGTGACTGAAATTTTGTTTCAAGCATGGACACTCTATTAGGAAATATGTTACCCTCGTATTGTGTGCATCACCTGATCAGTGTCGGTTGAAAACAGCCAAACAAAGTTTACCTTGGGACATCTTCACGTCAAAAGCAAAAACCAAGACTTGCTTATTGTGCCATAAATAGTAAATTTTTAAAATTTGCTTTCTACTGTTTTGCATTCCTTTTAATATTACGCACTGGGGTTTTCTCCGCACAGCTGATTTCTGTCTTGATGTAGGAATTTCCTGTCGTTTAGTTTCCTTTTCTGCCAAAGCACAAAAATAAAGGGCCTCACAGTTATCTTCTATGATGTCATTGAAACTGATCTTGTAAATCAAAGTCTAATGTGCACTTTATCAGATGGTCACAATTTGTGTCCTGAAGAGCTATCAAATAACAAGTTTGAATGAACTTTGTTTCGTTCGACTGAAAAGTTAATATTTACTTTCTTGTTGGGAAAGGGCTCAACAAGCTCAAGGTTAAACTTTCCAAAGACTGTTCAAAGAGTCGTGTCTATCAAAGAGTCATATCTTGCAACGTGCTTCTTCTGTTTTTGCATTCAGTCAGGGACCCTGAACAATAGAGGACAATAAGGTCCCCGATTGACAGAGGGTCCCCGATTGACAACTGTGTGCAAAACACATGGGGGGTCTTCTAAAAAAGTTCAAACAAAAGGGGGTAATAGGAGGTCCCCAGTTGTAGGCAAATACACACTTGGCTGTGTTTGTGGAAGGGGAGGTGTGCCTTAACAAATTGGGGCCGTCCCGTAATTTGAGCTCTACTTTCACAATTGTTTTGCTTACTCTCCCTCCATTGATCGTCCCACCCCAGATGTGATAATCCCTACCCCTGGGTAGCCCTTTCATGTAGTGTGTCGCCCTTTTCATGTAGTGTGTCGCCCTTTTCATGTAGTGTGTCGCCCTTTTCATATATTGTGTCAGGCATACCGGGACTTGTAAATTGTTTTGGAAATTCATTACCATGGCTTGAAAAACCTGACAAAAGACCAACCTGAGCCCTGGGACAATTTAGGAGGCAGCGTCCCTATAAATGCCTAAATGCTACAAGAATGCTGCTCAGAGAGCCAAAGTTAATTTTACCAGTGGGTGAAAGGCTCGTGTGGGAGGAGTCGCTGTTTCCTTATCTCGATTTCTCTGCCTCATCTCTGAACAGTCCGTCAAAAATCAAGAAGGAGCTTGTTGAAATTCAGCCCTGTGAAGTTGGTCCTCCTGTGGTAAGTCATGTAAATAAAATGAGCAATTCCATTCTTAAAACTCCTGAGACTGTCTGGCTTTGGTAATGAAGACATCTTTTAATGTTAAATTGTCCACTAGGACAAACATTTGGCTGCGGCTAAGGTCAAGAAGGAATCCGACAAGTATCATTCTTCAAAGCGCCCTCTGGAGGATTCGGATGATGAGAAACCTCTCTCTGCCAGGTAAGATACAAGAGTCTACCTTTGTGGGGAGTTTGTGGAGAGTTTGTGGAAAGTCGGCTTAAGTGTAAAATGCGGCATGTACAAGTAAGCAATCAACTGACCTGTGATTGTTGATGTTCATATCAGTGGCAGTATACAATTCTTTCATTGCGGTTGGATTTCCACTAGGATATGTCACCATTCAAAGTTGAAACTTAGGTGAGAGACATACTGTGCATTGAGACAGCCGTAGTTGGTTCATATATTGAGAAAAGTGTGAGCCAGTCACAATGTCCACAAACGCCAGACCTCAGCATAGCCACTGTCAGACTCTGCCCCTATTTCAGCCTTTTTCAACTTGCCCCCTCCAGGGTGGAAAAGGTGAAGAAACAGAAAACAGAAAGCCCCTCCATCAAGAAGATAGAAGTGCCTCAGAAGCGGAAACACGAAGCAAGCGAGGATGATGAACGCCTGGTACGTCGAGATCGGGGGAGAAAGATTCAAGAAAAATTCCTGTTGTCTGGCTATAGCTTTTCACACGATGAAGAGCATCTCAAAACTTCGTTCCTGTTGAGATGACATCTTTTGAAACGGTTTTAACTCCAGTAAAAACCATGTATACTCACACTTGCACAAGTAGACAATTACTGTGCCATTCCCACACCGACCTATGTACAGTGGCATCAAACGTACAGTAGAAACGGGCAGAATTCTCAGTGGAGCATTGAAGGCAAGCTTGACCCCTGACCTTTGATGGGGTCCTCTCTAGACACTATGCTGAATTCAACAGAATGTAACAGATTTGAAAAAAATGAGAACCCTGTCGAGTATCCAATGGAATGCTTCAAAATGCACCGATTGATATCGTGGCATTGTGCAGTACACTTAATACGGGCAATTCACAATAGTGCGCCATCAAGAGTTTGCAACGCATCGGCCAATCACAACGCGCGAATTCTGTCAACCCTTTCCAAACGCGCGCTGGGTCGACATATTTCGCGCATTGTGATTGGCCAACGCATTTCAAACTCTTGGTGGCGCTTTATTGAAACGCCCGTATTAATTCCAGCCTTGGCCTGTCAAGTCACAAAGTGTAGCGTGCTACCTGTGCTCAATGCTATATGCAATAATACACCTGGTGCTTTCTGTTGCATTGAGATGGGATGGGGTTGATTAGTCCTGTCAGTGTTGAACACACCTGTAGCACTGTCTACTTGGGACAACAAAATTTGCATACCGGGCCCCATTTGAAGCAGTAGCAGTTTGGTTCTGAATCCATTGGATTGCACCAAATGGGGCATTGATTTGTGGACATTTTGTGAGAGTATTAACTAGAATGGTTTCTTAACCCCAAATGTTGACTGGGTCGACCACATTGTTCGAACTCTTCAAGGAGAGGTCCTCTTGACACATGCACATTTTGATGGTACTTTCCTTTATTGGCACAGTCTTTGTCACATTGAATTGGAGTCTCATTTTTCTTCGACGAAAATGCTGCGGAAAAAAAAACAACTAATCTTTAATTTTTAAAATCTGCCTTAACCTGTCCAGTTCAAGAAATCCAAATCAGACGTCAAGAAATCAAAAGACAAGACAAAAGACAAGACAAAAGACAAGGGGAAAGACAAAGGAAAGGGTGACAAGAGAGACAAGGAGAAAGGAACAAAAAGGAAAACCAAGAAGGAGGAAGAGGCAGCCGAAGTCTGGAAATGGTAAAAACAAAAATGCACATTTCTTTAAAAACTATTTCTGTGTTTGCAAAGAGTAAAGAATATGAATACAAAGTATTAATTACGAAAGAGAACATGAAAGCAGGGATTTCTTTTCATACACCAGGGAGTGTAAAATTGAAATTAAACAGGTCTTTAAATTGTTGTGGAGAGGGAACCGGGGTAGCTTGTTACAAGAACTTGGGCCGTTTTCCAATACTCAACTTCAGCTCCGTCTCAGGCTTCAGCTGTTTTTTACTTCCTGAATTTGAAGCTGTAAGCACAGTAATTAGTCTAATCATGCCACAGAACATCAAATAAGATGCACCAGAGCCAAAAATTACAGAAATCCAATAATATTTAAACGCTTCAGGCCCACAGTCGGGGATTGGTTTCGGGGACGAAGCCTGAGACGGAGACGAAGTTGAGTATTGGAAAACGGCCTTGAAATTAGTGATCGGGAAGTGACAGAACTCAATCCCTTGCTGCTGGGTGTATATTTACTGCGTCCTTGGGGTCGGCATTTCAGAAGTGCTGTCAGTTGTACCTATATTTGTTGGAGGGCAGTTTGTACAGGATCAGCAGCCCCTTTCAAAGTGAATTGAAACACATCTGATTTGTTTGGTGCTCAGCAAACGGCACCATATACCGTTGGCAGCTGCCTGGCTGGAAAGCAGAGTGGTTTCAATTTCTTTGGGTTATCCCATTCAGGTGGGAGGAGGAGCCACATCCAGAGGGTGTCAAGTGGATCTTCCTGGAACACAAAGGACCCGTCTTTGCCCCTCCCTACGAGCCCCTTCCCAACCATGTGCGGTTCTACTATGATGGTAAGCATTTCACACATTCAAAGCCAACCATTGGTCTACTTGCGTGGTCGCTGGCCATCGCCAAGTAAACTGGGGGAGTGTACCACCAAACACACTTGACAAGTCACAGTGAGGTACTTTCCAGCATAGCCAGTCACAGAGCAGAAACTCTTTAGAACAGATTGCTCAACCTGAGGCCTACATCCTGGTCAGAGTACAGTTTTCTGAACTCAATCCACAAGCAGTAACAAAGAGTACACTTCCTTGATAATACGGTGGTTCTTCATGTGTGATGGTCAACATGCACTGTTTGAAGGTTTGGGCAACTGCTGTTTCACTGTGACGTTTACAGTCATCGTGGCAAACTCACTTTCAATTTTAGATTCTTCTAAAAGATGGAATCAGATTTGTCTCAGCCCTTCCCAATTCCAGCCTTTAAACCCATTCCAAAACCTGCCTAAAGGATTGCCACGCATTGATTGACCAATTTGGCTGAGAGTAAGTCTTCATGTCCCATCTTGGACCAGGTAAGCCGATGAAGTTGAGTGAGAAGGCTGAAGAGGTGGCTGGATTCTACGCACGCATGTTGGATCACGAGTACACGACGCGCAGTGTCTTCAACAAGAACTTCTTCAATGACTGGAAAAAGGTGAGTGGTGACAGCTG